CCGCCTCCCAGACAGACACACACAGAGCCGGGGGGAGACTCACTCTGCCCACCCAGCAGACCAGGTGCCTCCTCTGCACTGGCATAGATGGGCAGGTTCGGGGCTAGAAGGACAGACAAGTGAGGCCTCCTGAGTGCCCCAGGCGGTCCAGGGAGAGGAGCTGTCCTCTGAGCCAGTTCCCCTGAGTTCTGCCCAACCTCATGGGCAGTTCTGCCTGTGGCCTGAGTTCTGCCTGTGGCCCTCCCACCTCCAGGCTGGCCTGGAGGGCTGCCAGGGAGAGGGGACTCCACATGCCAGGGTCCAGCTCCCAAGCTCTTCAGCCTCTTCCTGCACCTGCTTCCTTGTGGCCTGGCCTGCACCATTACTCTCCTGGCAGATGACCACACAGGGGCCATGAACTGGGCCAGCCCAGCACCCCAGGGAGCCAAATGGGACCCCAGCTCCACCCCTCCAAGTCCCAGTGGGCTGGCACGTTCCAGTGCCTCCATTTTCCAGGGCAAGAGTGGGATGCCCAGGAGGACCAGGACTCGGCCCCACACCCACGATGGGATGGCGTGTGGTAAGCGCCAAGGCCGAGCGGCTCCCGGGCACGTGCTGGGATTACAGACTATGGCTGAGCCCTCTGCATAGCAGAATCCTAAGCAGCGCCCCTCCAGCACGCAAGGACATTTCAAAGATAAAACAGGAGCTCTCCGCCGCCACTGCCGCACCCCTCCCTTTGCATCTGGGCCGGAGGCTCCAGGGAGGAAGAGGGAACAGGTGACCAGCTCTGCCCCCACCCAAGGTCCCTTCCCCAAGGCACCCCCGGGGTCAGACCCCGGCCCTTATCTCCTCTGCCGGCCCCTCCTGCTGCCTCACTGGAGTCCAACGCCACAGGCCCCACGGACCAGGCTACACTCCCGCGCCCCCCCCCGCCCTCCTCAGCCCCAACTCAGGCCCTGCGTCCTCCCGCCCATGCAGGGCTGTGACCTCCGATGAACCCTCCGCTGTCTATCGCAGGGCCTGCTCACCCTGGAGGCCCCAGATGCTCCCTCCTGGAATCAGCCCCTCTCCCTGCTTCCCCCTTGCTTGCTGGGTTTGGTTTCGGTGTTGACGGCAGGGTTTGGAGTGTTGTGACCGCTCCCTGTGATGAGGCTCTGCCCGGGGCTCTCACCTCGGCGGGGCATCCTGCTTTACTCATGGGTCCCTGGCTCCCACCTGGACACCTCTCTGGTGCCGGGCAGGTAACAGGCTCTGGGGGTGAGCTGCCATGAGGCCGCGGTGAGACGGGGGCACATGATGGCTGCTCCCTGCCCCTGTTCGGCTGCCTCTCAGCCGTGGAAAGGGGGTTCCGCATTGCAGATGGCGGCTTCTTCCCACAGAACTTGCCTGCACCCCCCTGCAATCTGCATAACCCAGGCTGCCCAGGGCGGACGACAAGCCAATGGCCCGCAGCCAAGGTCTGGGAAGCCAGTCCCAGCCACTCTGTGCCACAAACTGCGCAGTCTCTCACGGAGGCTTCCTGCAGCCGTGGCTCTCCTTCCATCCATCTTACAGAGGAGGAAACTGAGTCCTGGAGAAGCCAGCAGGCCTGCTTGTGGTCACTCCATGGGGCTGGGGCTGCGGGGCCTGCGCTCCTGCTCAGAGCAGCTCAAGGCGCCCCATTTGCAGCCTTGGTGCTCAAGAGCAAAGGCACTTGAAGTTCAGAGATCAGAGCTTTTGAAAACAAAACCCAGCACCCACTGAATGACTCCCTGGCCTCCTTTTAGGGCTCTGGGACCACCAGGTATCAAGGAGGGCCAGGAGGGGGCCAGGCAGGGACGCAGGGGCAGTCACAGGCTCCGGATACCAGGGGAAGTCAAGACAACAGCCGCTTTCACGCCTGGACAGCTCTCTGCTGCTCACAAAGTCTTCGTGTGTCCAGGACCTCACTTATGTTTGCAGTGGGTGTTGGGGGCCTCTTGGGTGTCCCCAGGGAGGAAGAGAGGGGCTGTGAGGCCCTCCTGCCTGGTATCACATGGGTGCCTCCAAGGAGTCTTCATGCCCACCTGCCTGGGGCCTTGACCACCAGGGACAGGGCAGCCTGGCTGCAAGCACGGTGGAGCTGTTGGGGGAGGTGCCAGGGCTGGGCCTCTCTGCTGGGCTCACACTGTCCGCCTCCTGGGCGCCCAGGCACTTTCCCTGGGAAATGGGCCGAACTGGGGTTGGGGTCGGAGGGTTCCCAGGACACCTGTGAGTCCGGGTCCCATCCACAAGCAGGACAGGTGGGAAGCAGGCTCAGGGCCCAGTTACCTCCCCAAAGCCATGGGGTACAGAGTGTTCCTCGGTGAAAGCTGGCACTCCTTCCACCCCATATAGGAAGGGTGGATGGTACCTCCCAGGCTGCCTCGAGAACAGGGTCCCGGGCAGGTTCAGAGGGGCTGGGGCCTGTGCTGTTTCCTACAGTCGGGGATGGGTGGGGTAGGGTGCAGCTGTGGGCCAGAGACCACGAAACAGACCTAGAGAAGCTGGGAGAGACAGGGCAGAGACAGACAGGGGCAGAGACAGAGGCGAGGGAGAGAGACACAGAGAGAAAGAGGGTCAGTGAGGGAGGGAGACAGAAGGAGAACGAGAGAGAGAGAGAGAGAGAGAGAGAGAGAGAGAGAGAGGAAGGGAGAGGGAGGAGGCGGGGAGGGAGGGAGGGAGGGTGGAGGGAGAGGCGCTCACACAACACAGAGCACCAGAGACAGGTCTGGAGACAGGAAGCAGAGATGCCAGGACAAGCCGCGCAAAGCCGGCCGATCCCCCACGGCACCCGGCCACTGGACCTGCCACCTGGCCAGGCACCACCTTCGCAGCCACTGCCCCGCCAGCCCCTGCGAAGCCCTGCTGGCCATCGACGCACGGGCGGCCCCAAGAGATAAGAGCCCACGGAGGCTCCCCGGCTGCTCTGTGGGTGACAGCCGGCCTGTGCGGGCCTGATAGCCGTGGCCACAGCAGCGGTTGGCCGGCGGCCGCGTATCAGCCCATCGCCACCCACTGCACAGAAATTCGGATCTGCGGGAGCCGATAGGGTGCCGCCCGGGCCCGGGGATGCCCCACAGGAAGCTGGGGGGTGCACCCCAGCCCCAAACCACCGCAGCAGCCTCAGGGGCCCAGCCCTTCCCAGCGCCAGGCTCCGGCCCCCAGGGCTTCCTCCATCTGCAGAGCGAGAGGCTGATCTAACCCCTCTCAACACCGCAGGGACCTGGGAAGTGATGAGCAGCCCAGTGTCTGTGAGCTCCAGGCCCAAATTCAGCTCTACCGCCTCCCAGCCACGTGACCTCGGACAGGCGGGGTTCCCTCCTGTGGGGACTGGGGTCACCATCTCAACCCCTCTTGAGACTGGCGTGAGGACAGCACAACACCCTGTATGCCCAGTGGTCAGCCGGGTCCCACAGGTACACAAGGGTCCCTGCCACTGTGGGGGTCGTCTCCACTGCTACCCTATTCTACAGCTGGGGACACTGAGGCCATCAGGGCAGCCCTCCCCAACCCCACAGCACTGCCCTGTGTTTGCAAAGGCCTACCTGTCACACTGACTCAGCAGCGAGGGCATGAGGCGCCAGCGCCCAACCGAGACCCCCGACAGGTGTGCCCTGGGCCTGCCCCCGACCTGCTGTCACTGAGGAGAAGACGTGCAGCCGGCAAATTTCTGCTGTCTCTGGGTCCCAGTTGGGTAATACACATCATCTGCTGTGCTGGACGCCTGGTCCCCCTCCTGGGGACGGCAGAGGGAGCCTGTGAGGACCTGTGGCCATGAGGCCCCAGAGAGCCCTGGGCAGCCCCACAGCCTACGCAGGCGTGACTCAGCTTCCCCGTGGGGCCAGGCCAGCCTCTTGGCTGTGGCTGCCAGGCCCGCCCCTCCCTCCCTGGCCCCGGCTGCCCTGTGTGGAAAGAGGCTGCATTACAGGAGCACGCCTCACCCCGAACGTGCCGCTGCCTACTTGCCCTGCGGCAGGCACACACGCCCATCACACACACCCCGCTCGCTGCTGGGACCTCGCTGACCCCGCTCCATCTTGGCCCCCAGGAAAGAATAGTGTCCCTCAGCCTCAGCGAAGCCTTCCCTGCTCCCCAGCACGGCGAGCCCTCACCACACGCTTTCGCTCCACAGACAGGCCTTGCTGGTGTCACTGAGATCTCTGGAGCGCTCTCTGATGACCACCTGCTCCCTGCTGTGTGCCCGGCCCTCCCCACGCTGTCCTCCTCCACAGAGGCCCTTGCCACCCCATCCTGCTTCTGTTGGGCCCCTTTCCTCCCTCGTCCACCAGCTTCCACAATGGCTTTGGTTGGGCAGCCCTGGGAAGCCACCCCAGCCGCTACTCTGGTTCCTCGGGCCTCGGCATTTATCAGGGACGATGGAAACAACCTGACTGCCGGTGTTTCCTGCGTTCACAAATCAATGGGATTCACAGCTGCCGAAGGGGCCGCAGGGAGAACATGCTCATGGGACTTCCGGGGTCAGAACTCCAGCTACAAATCACAGAGCGGAGTGACGAGCTAGCACCACCAATCCACCCTCGGGGATGCACCTGGGGCCCAGGCCCCATGGGGCTGTGTGGCTCGGACTCCATCCCCACGGCCTGCAGCCACCCTGGAGTGGAATGGGGTGGGGTCCTGCCCTTCAGGCCTGAGTGCCTGCCTGGCCACCTCAGCACAACTCCGAATCCCCGTGTGGCTGGGAAGGCCAAGGGCCAGGCAGCTCAGAAGCAGCCTCCTGTTCCCACCTCCCTGCCTTCCCCATCTCCTGGGACTCCTGCCCGGTCAGCACACTAGCTTTCATTCTGCAGCCAAGACCAGGCTCTGACCAAGGAATCCCCCAGTGATTCCTTGTGCTCCACGTGAGGCTGGGATTGGTGCGTGGGTGCCCAGCTCCAGCGATACACCAGCTGCACAGGTTGGCTGAGCTTTGAACCAGGCACAGGCCTCGCCCAGTGGGTCTCCAGCAACCTACACACCTCCCCAGCCCCCATGTGGCCCCGTTGCCAGGGGCTGGTTACCTGGCCCGGTCCAGGGGCTGCGTGGCTCTTCTTCCTCCCTGGGCCTGGGATCTGGTTCCTGTCCCTCCAGCTCCTCGGGGCCTCCTGGGGACGTGGGGGACGGCGGTGGCAGGGGTGAGTTAACATCTGCAGAGGGGAAAAGACCGCCACATCCCTACTGAGCGCCGGGCACTGAGCTGCCCCTCCCTGTGGCTGGGAGGGACGCTGAGGTGCCAGGTGGGGAAGCTGGGGCCCAAAGCCGCCCACCCTCCTGGCTCACTCTAACTGGGGTGGGAGAGACATCCCAGTTTTCCTCTTGGTCTTTTAAAACCCCCCATCCCTCATTAATTGTAGCAATGATAATTGTTATTCCAGCTGCTGTTGATAATTAGGGCTCACAATAGCCCACCAGCCTGCCCCACCCAGCAGGCACATATGTGGCTGCCAGCTCCCCGGTCCCCTCTGCTGGCAGCTGGGGGCCCCTCCACCTGGCCCCACACCAATTTCCCGGTCCCCTCTGCCGGCAGCTGGGGGCCCCTCCACCCAGCCCCGCACCAATTCCAGCCCAAAGGGCATGTTTGCCTTCCCAGCTGGCCTGATAACCACCTCAGCCCCGATCGATGTGATCCCATAAAGCCCCCCCACCCCCGGTGACGTCACGTGGCCACAGATTATTAATACCCTCGATAAGGGCTGTGATTAACATCAAGTAAGTCAATCACACGGTATAAAAGTCCTATTATTTTTGGCTATAAATCAAAGTGGCTGGCATCTGAGCTCCAGCCACTGCGAGGGAGCCTCGCTGGACCCGCCAAGCGGCAGACACCGCTCCTGTGCCCCGTCTTATCTCGCCTATCGCCACGCCATCACCACGGCCTGTGCCAGGTGCAGCCCGGGCTGTTTTTTCCAGCTCCTTCCCCGGCCCCGCCCTCGCCCCCATGCAGCCCTGGCTCCTAGATCAGATAAGGCGCCTGGCTCCCCCGGAAGCTGGCCTTGGTCAAAGTCCACCAGCCCTGCGCTGCCTGCCCCTCGCTGTGGCCCCTCCACCTGGGCTTCTTGCAGCCGGCCGGCTGGCAGCAGCTGCATGCACCACTGAGGCTGGCGGCGGTGACAGCCCAGGTCTTCACAGTCCACGTGTACCACACGGGTTCTCTTCCCACGGCCACTGAGGGGCTGGCGCCCTGCCTGCACATGCAGAAGCTGAGGCTACGGGAGGGTTAAGTGCCCCGGCTGGGACAGGCCAGGGAGGGTTCTGGCTGCACCACCAGCCACGTGTGCTGACCGCGATGGTGGCAAGGACAGGGAGGGTGGCAGCCAGTGGGTCCCAGGCCTCACCAGAGGCTGGGCTGGACCCCTGCAGGCGGCCTGGTTGTCCTGGGGCAGGAATGTCCCTGGGTGAGCCGGGAGAGACGGCAGCCCCAGCCCTGGGTTTGAGTCCCACTGGCTCTGGTGACCCCAGGGGCTTGCTGCCAGAAAAAGGGGCCCAGGCCCAGCAGGCTGGCTGTGTGCAGATTGGGGGATGAGGCCTGCTGGGCTCCTAGACCTGTGGGACTCTGACATTTAGAATGGGAGTGCTGGGTTGGGGGTCCTCATTGAGAAGCCCCCCTCCCAAGCCAGAGACCATGGTTGGCCTGGGATCCCCACCCAGCCCCTTGGCCACAGACCCTTGTGTAACCCTCCCCTGCCCCGATGGCTTCAGGGCCTTTGCACCTGCTGTCACTGACCCCTGGCATCCCTCCAGCCATCAGGGGCAGTGCCACACATCCTTGGGGTCCCTGCTCAGTGTCACCTCCCCTCAGGTCTTCCCTCCACTCCAGGTCCTGTCACCCCCCAGCACCCTCCCAAACGGCCTGGGTATGGTCATATCTCCTCCATGCTGGAGTGGGGGTAATTCACAGTCTGTGTGCAGAGGGTTTCATGCACGGGGTGGGTGTGAGATCGGTACCTGGGGCTCCAAGTGGAGTAGGGGGAGGGGGGCAGAGCCCACCCCACGACCTGCTGCTGTCTCTCTGAGACCTTGGAAAATGGGGGCGAACATGCTGACCTCTCCCGGCACCTCTATCCCAGTGAGGCCCCTCCTCCCAGGGTCTCTGGTGTGTCTGGAGGCTCCTGAAGGCCTCCGTATGTCAGGGTAACTCTCTCCCTGGAAGGCAGGCCCTCTTCCTGGCTTAGCAAATGACCTGCCCCAAGGAAATGGCCACCAGGAGGGCCCAGGGAGTGTGGAGGTGCCCAGAGAGGGTGGAGGAAATCAGGCTAAACCCAGACCTGGGTGGGACCCCTACTAGGACACCCTAGAGCTGAGTGACACTGGAAAGTCACGAAACTTCTCTGGTCTATGAATGGGGTGTGGTGCCTTAGCCGGAGACACCACTGCGCACCCAGCACCTACTGTGTACCCAGCACCCACTTGTACCCAGCAACCACTGTGCACCCAGCACCCACTTGTACCCAGCAACCACTGTGCACCCAGCACCCACTTGCACCCAGCAACCACTGCACACCCAGCACCCACTTGTACCCAGCAACCACTGTGCACCTAGCACCCACTTGCACCCAGCAACCGCTGCTCACCTAGCACCCACTTGCACGCAGCAACCACCGTGCACCCAGTACCCACCGTGCACCCAGCAACCACCGTGCACCCAGTACCCACCGTGCACCCAGCACCCACTGAGCACCCAGCCCAAGTGGGACACCAGTGGGGGCTGCAGCTCAACAAGGCCCGTGACCCCCAAGAAGGGGCCTCATGGTTCCCATTTCATGGAGGGCCTACTGAGGCTGGAAGGGCATGGATTCACATCCAACCTTGGGTCTCTGTCTGTTCATCTGTACGAGGGCTGGATTTCAGGTCGTACCTGTGGTAGGTGTGCATGTCTCTCCCTTCTCTGGGAACCCCCAGCCCCACCCAGCCCCCCAGGCCACAGGCCCCTGGCTGGAGGACACCTGTCCTGGACTCCTGGGTGTAGCTGGTCCACGCCACTCTGACACCACTGAACTCTAAGTGCATGGTACAGTTAAGCAACGGAGGCCCCAGCTGGTGGAGATGGAGGTGTGGCGAGAGGCCAGTGGGACTCACCTGTACTGGGAGGGCTCGGGGCTTCAGGTGCTGTGGCCTTCTGCTCCACGTGGCTGGCACCTGCCAACAGCACCTCCTCTCTGGCCTCCATGTCTCCAAGGGAACCTGTGGACACAGGCAGAGGGGTTGGGAGGTGCTCTGGGGAGAGAATCCCTGCCTCCTGACCCCTCCTGGCATAGCCACAGCCCAGGTGCCCAGGTGGAGTTGGCAGCTGGGCAGGGGTGAGGGTATGCACCCCTCTGAGCTCAGAGGCCAGGCGCCGCTAGCTGGGGGGGTCCCTTTAGGTACTCAAGACTTGATATTCGGGCGCAGTGGCTCACACCTGTGATCCCAGCACTTTGAGAGGCTGAGGTAGGAGGACTGCTTGAGTCCAGGAATTTGAGAGCAGCCTGGGCAACATGGCAAGACCCTGTCTCTATAAAAAATACAAAAATTAGCTGGATGTGGTGGCACATGCCTGTAGTCCCAGCCACAAGGAGGGCTGAGGTGGGAGGATCACTTGAGCCTGGAGGGTCCCCATGGCCTGGAGTTGGAGGCTGCGATTGCACCACTGCACTCCAGCCTGGGTGACAGAGTGACACCTGTGTCTCAAAACAAAAGACCTGACGAACCTAGATGAACCCCCATCCCCTCCAACAATTCCAAAGCTGCAGGGCCGCCCCACCCTCCCTTCCCTGCCCTGACCCCGCCCTCCACTGTGCCCACGTATTCCACTCTTGACAGAGAAGAGTCACACCCCTGTCTCTCCCACCTGCTCCCCCCAGCACCCGGAGACAGGCCCCCACCTGCTCTGGAGGCCTTGGAGCAGCGATGGGTCCCTCCCTGTCCCGCAGGCCCAGCATGAGGGTCACCATCGCCAAGGCCTCTGCCTGGCATCACTGCCAATGCCCTGCCCGGGGGCCCGGTCCCCTTATAGTCATTCCCATGGTCTGGGAGCTCCCTGGGGGTGATGCCTTCTCCCAGCACAGGCCCCGAACAAAGGAGTTGCCTGTAGACTTGTGGAGCGAACAGTTCACCGAGCAGCGCACAGGTGTCTGCAGCGTCAGAGGCGGAAGTGCCCTCCCTCAGGGGTGGGGACCCTCAGAGACTCAGGCATCGGGGTGGGGGCTCCAGGAGCCCACCTACAGGTGACAAGGCAGACAAGGCCACGAGGCCCAAGCGCAGGGGTGGCTGCCCCGGGCGCCACAGTAGCTGTGGAGCGCGTGCTGACGTCCGCTGCGGGGCTGCGACGGGTGGCGGTGTCCACCGTGTGAACAGAGGACAGACATGCCCCTGCGCAGCCGGCCTGACTGCTCCCCAGCTCCTGGCCCTGCCTCAGCCTGCATGCTGGGACTGCCCCCTCCATATCCGTCCTCCACATGGCCTGACCTGCCCAGCACCGTACAGTCCAGTGTGAGGCGTGGTGGGGCCGAGCCTCCAGACCCACTCAGGAGTGGGAGGGGCCATGGCCCTCCTGAGCCCCGACTGCAGGTCCCACAGCCGCTGAGCCCCGATGTCACAGCAGGACACGAACAAGAAAAGTCTGGGAACCGCTGAGTGTCTGCAAGTTCACGTGTCAGAGGAGCTGTCGGGGCAGAGAGGGCTTCTTGGCGGAGGGGAGGCCTGAGCTCCCCTTCCTGGAGGCAAGCCAGCCACAGACGGGGAACTGGCCGGCGACTGCGCCTCTGACCTGGAGGTCCCTGGCTTTTCCTGACTCGTGGCCCCTCTGGGAATCTGAGGAAGCCCAGTGCCTCCTCCACAGAAAAACACACAGAGGCACGCACATGCGCCAGCGTCAAGGGGTTCCAGTGGATCCCCCCTGCACTCTTCCAAGTCCGTTCACGCTCTCTGCTTTGCTAGGTTTCTCCAGGGAAAGGCAGAAGATGGCAGGGAGATGGGCAGGCCAGAGGCGGAGCCCACTGACGCCCAAAACACCTGCCCCGCCAGTAACAAAAATGCCACCCGCCAGCATCCAAGGCCGGGTGCAGAAGCTGCCTCATGTCAGAGACCCCCGAAGATGCGACCGAATGAGAACTACTGTGACTGAGTTTCAGGCTGATGTCCGAGACTGCCCCAGCCAGTCAACGCAGGAGGGAGGCGGGAAGGTGCATTTTCTGTGTCTGAACTCCAGCCCCGTCTCTGATCATGAGCAGGCTGTGGCTGGCTGATGCCATCACACCAAACTGCTCCTGGAGGGGCAGACGCCTATTTCTGCCTTCTGCGGACATCCGAGGGCCAGGTTTGGTTCCAGGGTGCAGGGGCGCGCCAGATGGCTGAACACTGCCTGGGACATCCAGGCTGCTGTGGGGACAGTCAGACAACAATCCATGGGCCCCGGCCAAAAACAGCAGCGAGTGATAGAAGTGCAGTGAGGGACAAGGACAGACACGCGGAGGGGCTGGCGTCAGCAGATTGGAGGGACAGCGTGGCTGGTGCCAGACCAGCCCCCGAGAACACAGCTATGGCAGAGGGGGCTGCGTGTTCAAAGATCCGGGTGGGGACGGAGGTGTCGGAGGAAGAGGAGGTTGGGGGCCAGGGAGTGCTGGTGGTCAAGGCTGAGGGCAGGCAGGGGCCGGGCCTTGCTGACCTCAGAGGTCACGGGGAGGAGTGGGCCCTCATGCTGGGGCGGCTGGGGAGCTACAGGGTCTTCTGACAGGAGGCACACCTGCACCTTCCCAGGGTGCAGCCTCCGGGGTTCCAGCTGGGACCCACGAGTCCCGGTCTCCTCAGAGCATCTCAGAGCTGTAATTACGGGAGGGGGCTGGGCTCAGACCACACAGGAGCCAGCCCCAGGGAAGGGCTGGCAGCCTCCCATCAAAGCACCCACATGCACAGGCTCCAGGGTTTGGGCACACCCCCGACCAGCCCACCTCATGCCCCTGGGGCAAAAGGCCCGACCCAAGTGCTCTCCCTCAGCATACACCAGGGCAGAGAAGTGGCTGCAGTGGCCTTCCCCTCTGCCTCTGGGCTCGGCCATGAGCGGGCAGTGCCATCCACAAGGTCAGGAGGAGCTCGGCCCTGCAGGACACTGAGCTTATGCAGCCCGGCTCCACCCCTTTTGAGAGGCCTGTGGTGGGCGTGGAGCTGGGAGGGGCTGCCCAGGAGCTGTGGTCCCTCCTGCTGAGCAGCGGTAGGGCCTCAGGGCCTCAGGGCCTCAGTCACCAGGTCTGGCAAATGGGCTTGAGGCCACCTGCTTTCAGGGACTTTGGGGACCAGAGCACTGGAACAGGGACGCAGCCCCAGCATGCCCCACTCAGGTGGGTCTCAGACACCCAGGGAGGCCGTGGGCTGGTGACGGGTTCTCCCATTTACAGGAGAACAAAGGCGCCTGCTCCACACAAAGGCGTGATGATGAGCGTGGAGAAGAAGGCTGCCAGGCTAATTTCAGTTCCAGCACAATTAAAACGGCACTGATAACGCAGGACAACCGTCACGCAGCAGATAGCTCTCAGCCCACAGATACGACGCGTCGAGGCAGATGCTGCCCCAGGCCCGCCTGGGCGCCTGAGAGAGCTGCCCGGTCCTTGCCGAGCCCCTGAGTCAGTACCAGTCCCTTCTGTGCCCACCTGGGGTCTCTGGGGCGTGTCCAGGTGGGCAACAGAGCACTGGGACCCCTGCTGGCTGAGGGCATCTGTGGGCCATGGCTGCTCTCTGCTGCTTTCCCCCATGCCCAGGGCTGGCAAAGACCCCCCAAGAATCTCTGGGGACTCTCCCTCTGCCCAGTGATGCCAACAGCTGGAGCAGGCCAGGCCACGGCCAGGCAGGCTGACAGCTGCTGTGTCCTTGCTGTGTGACTTCGAGCAAGCCACTGAACTTCTCTGTGTTTAGTGTCCTGGACTACAGATGGAAGCCACAGCAGCTCCCGCCTCAGGAGATGAAATGTGCGGCTGCCAGCGTCCTCGGGGCCCCACACAGGCCAGCTGCTCAGTGAACACGAGCTGTCGCCAGCACACGTCCTGGGAAATGGGGGAGGGTGTGCATGGTTGAGACTGGATGGGCCGTGTCCAGTGTCTCACAAACTCCCTCCCTGGACCGCCTGCACCCACGTAGCCCGGTGAGGCCATCTTCCAGTTTCATTTAGGATGGGGAATGTGGGGCCCGCTCAGACCTCAGCAGGTAGGGGCGGTCAGGAAAGTGCATGGGGACAGGGCGCTCGGAGGAGGGGGAAGAGGACAGTGCGGGGATGTGGTGGTGACTGTGGCAGGGTGGAGTGGAGGGGGTAAGGGGGACCCTGGGCACAGCCATCACGGGAATTCCACTCGCCAACACCATATCCCAACACCACAGCGGGAAGCCGAGTCCCGCCCACTTCATGGGTGAGTGAACCGAGGCCCAGCATGGCGGACTCATTAGCTGCGCTGACCGTGGCCCTGGGGAGGAGGCAGTGGTGGGGGCGGCGGGACAGGAACCTCAGACCTGCACCCAGCACGTGGCCCTTCCCCGAGCCAGACACGGCCTCCATGCCTCCCTCGCCCCAGGACTGCCTGAAGGGAGGGTGATGCCAGCCCTGCTGCCTGGCCCGGCAGAGGTCAGTGGCCAAGACCACACCTGCCTGGCCTTGTTCACGGGCCACGGTGGTGGTCACTGGTGGCCAGGACAGCACTGAGCTCGGACCCTGCGGTGCCCGGAGCCCCTCGGTTATCACAGCCAGCAGACACCCGCGCGCCCATCCGTCTCCTGCTCATTAAGCCGGACGCCGAAATGGAAATGAAAACATAATAGCTATTTGATTGGGGGCGAGATATTTTGCATATTGGCTCGGTGCTGATAGCGGAATTTCATCAACGCCCTTTTTTCATGCTTTAAAACTGAATTACGGCGCTGGCTCTGTGCAGCGGGATGATCCCAGCTCCCTTCCAAGTCCTCGCACTGACGATTATGGTGGCACCTCCCGGCTTGGATGGCGACATGCTGGGGGGCTCCTTTGAATAACTGCCTTGCAGAAAAGCCAGAGCTAGTCACTGAGGAGGGGGCGGAATCCCCCAGACTGTGGGCCCCAGGGCCAGGGTGGCCCTGCCAGGTGGGGCGCAGATGGGAGCTGTGGGCGAGGAGCGGACCCCAGCTCTGTGCCTTGGGCAAGACTCCTGACAACCCAGGGCCCCAGCCTGGGAAGAACCCTACCCTGG